GTGCGTCTGTTGAAGAGTGGCCTCCATTTTGCGCAGCAACCACTGCGCCTGAGCTCGCCGATCTATGGGGGCAGGAATCATCGCCGATGGTGCGCCCTGTGCTCGCTGCCCTTGCGGTCCGAGTTGTGTCCTCGGTCTCACTCGTCGCCCTCCTCCATCATCTCCATCTGCCGCCTGTGGTTTGGGTACGTAATCGGAGTTTCTTGCATCATCAGTGCCTGTGGTCTCTCCCGGGGCGATAAGTACACTGCCGCGTCTCCCTGTGTTGTCATCGTGGACGATAAGTACACTGCCGCGTCTCTTCTGACCTGCCACTGCATTCCCCGTGCCCTCCCTGCCGACGATATCCGCCGTCGTTGCATCCCTCCCTCCAACATTCAATGCGTCGCCGTCAGGTGCAATCTCTCCGTCCTCGAGATGCACAACGCCCGATCCTCTCTCTCGGGAACGCATATGTGAGGATGAACGTGACGCCTTCCTTGCCGAGGCCTTCTTCCTTGCCCGAGAAAGACTCGCCTTTGCGGCTCTCATAGCATGGACATCATACGTCTTCGTCATCAAAGCACTACCGTGTCGGTCCCCAAACTCTGCCATGGCGGTATGCCGAGCACCATCCACACTCCCAATGGATCGTTTCCCCATAGATGGTGCAGATGGCCAGCCAACATTCCGGACTCCCTGCTCATCCATCCCCCCAGTACTCTTCCCGCTGGCATAGAATGCCACTGTCGGAAAAACAATGGCTCTGTCGCGACGTGTTGTCGCCGATGACCCAACCACAAGTTGTTCTGTCGCGTCCGCGCCACTGTTTGTAACGGGGACGCCCGCATCTGCGCCGACAACCGCGGCAATCGGATGATGCTCTGAGTTTGACGGCAGACTTGGGGGTCTTGCTTCTCTTTCGAGTGTGTCAACTGGCCCACCAGGAGACCCTTCCTCTGCACCATCAAATGAATGAGAAAGACTGCGTTGTGCGATGCTGAGCTGACCGTCGCGGCGGTGTCGCGTCGTCGTCTCCGCCAAACCAAGGGCCACCTCGCGTAGTTTGCCAACACGAAAAATTGTGGGCGTGGCAGACACCATTGGGCTCGTAATCATATCGGCGATATCGCCTCCTGCCACGTCAAACCCGTCCGATCCACGCTCCATGACAACAGGCTGTTGTGGCTTGGGCGGTGACACATGCGGTGCCTGTCTCTTATACACATCTAGATGTGTATAAGAGACAGTGTGTCTGTTGAAGAGTGGCCTCCATTTTGCGCAGCAACCGCTGCGCCTGAGCTCGCCGATCTATGGGGGCAGGAATCATCGCCGATGGTGTGCCCTGTGCTCGCTGCCCTTGCGGCCCGAGTYGTGTCCTCGGTCTCACTCGTCGCCCTCCTCCATCATCTCCATCTGCCGCCTGTGGTTTGGGTACGTAATCGGAGTTTCTTGCATCATCAGTGCCTGTGGTCTCTCCCGGGGCGATAAGTACACTGCCGCGTCTCCCTGTGTCTGTCTCTTATACACATCTAGATGTGTATAAGAGACAGCCATCGGAGCTGTCGCGTGCATACTCGAAGTGTCACCTCGTGGATGACCGCTCCCGCCATGCAGCTCGATCCGCTCCTCGCCGCCGTGATCGCTGAAAGAGTCCTCAGAAACTGGAATCTGCCCAGTTGHGGGGACTCGTGATAGTGGAATGCTAGCAACCCCAGCATGACGTTTGTGCACACGTGAAGCGATAGTGTCTTTTTCCCTTGGTCCGCGTTTCAAGCGCGTCAGGTCACTGCCCGAGACAGGTCGTGAACCATCATCATGCACTCCATCTCGAGCGTCATCTACTGCTGTGCGGTGCTCGCCCCCTGCCCCGTCGGYGCGCATCGTGTCACCATGTGCAGGTCGTGGCCTATCTCCTCCGTCACCGTGATCATCGCCACTGGCGCCATCGTCGTCGCCCACGTTCGGATGACGGTCGTCGAAATCGTTGTCGCCATCCTGTGCAGGCCTGCCAGTCCCGAAGAAATCCTCGTCATCGCTGGACGAGCTCTCGTACAAAAAGTCTCCCTCATCCCATCGCTGTCGAGGCTTGCGTACTAGCTCGTCCACTGCCCTTCCACGACTCGCGACACTACGCCTCCTGCCAGGACCTTCATGCCCCCCTCGCCCACGACCGCCCCGACGACCACCTCCGCGACCGCCGCCACGACACCTCCTCCTGTCAGACTCCCGCAAGCGACGAGTGGCTCCCATGCGGGACATGACGCGCATCCTCTCTCTTGCCTGCGTCAACTCCTCCTTCGTGACCGTCACACGGGCTCCTCGGTCTGCCACAAGCTGCTGGTCGGTGGGCACCTCCTCCTCCACCTGCTGCCCGTAGTGCACCCAACTCCCATACGGATGTGGCCTGTCACTGGAAGCATCGTCCGACATAGCCTGCCTGTCGAGGAGCCGAAGGTTYCAATGGCATCGCACGAGCTTCTCGGCCCACGCCACCTCCAATCTGTTACGAGATTTGGAGTGGATGAAACTCCAACGGGACCAAGCTCTCTCGCAAGGCGACACAGTCGCCCACACATGCAGTATCCTGCCAGCGAAGAAGGCCATGTGCGGGAACCTCTTCTCCTTCGACTCCCAGAAACAGGCTGGATGGGTATAGCTCCTCGCCGCCCGGTCCATGGCCACGTCGTCGAGCGGCGGCTCCCTGGAATGGGACTTATCAATGGCAGTGAGGACCTCGTTGTGCTGATCCGAATGTTCCGGGTACCCAAACTGAATCAGAGCGAGTTTCAAACCGTGCTGCATCTCCTCGTCATCTGGCATCGTGCGGTCTCGAAACTCGGGGTCCAACATCATGGCAGCAACATGAGCACGCGAYTTGAACATGGTRCGGCGTCTGTCAAWTACTTCAAGCAGCGCGTCCTGCTSGTCCTTCTCCAAAGCGGCACATGYAGACAAACAACGCGCGATCATCTCGTCGTACCRRCGCAGAATCTTGCCAATCTGCCTCGTGTCGCTGTCCACCATCTGCAGCATGTCCATGATGGGATCCWACAACTTGCACAGCGCTCKCATATCCTCCSACCATTGAGGACAACCGACACATGCTGTGACCTCCGCRGCGTCGTCTCGAATCTTCTTCGTTGACCAAACAGTGTCCTTCCATCGATCATCAACGACCACCTRCATAAGATGCGATTGCAGCAGAAGAAGTCGTCGCATCATAATCACWTGCGTAYCGAAGCGAGTCTCGGCGGGRAGCAGCAGAGCCTTCGTCGTGAAAGCTTGCAAAACTTCGCGAGMGTGGCTATGACGCTTGAAAAACTTTGTGACCAAACACGCCTGAGCAATGCGGGTCGCCACCCAGTCAATGCYGCCGATGTCCTCAAGGATGAGGTCCATGACATGTGCCACACAAGGAATCCAGAGGATGTGCTTGACACTCTCATCCTTCTGGAACACCTCCATCGCATAAAAGTTCGAGCTGGCAGCGTCTGTGACGAAAGCGGTGATGTCAGCGAGCTTGATGTCAAGGGACTTCAACCTTCGCAGCCAAGCCTGCGCCAGAGCAGTGACATCCTTCTTTCCTCGCATAACATCTGTCGCGACGTWTGTGGCGCCCCGTGTAGTGCCGACGAGATAGTTGCACAACGTTTGGCCCCGAATGTTGGTCCAACCGTCTGTCATTATCGTGCAACCGTAGGTAGCTGCAGTAGCGAGGACAGGTTTCACACACTTTTGGACTTCCACATCAAGCTCATCCAAAAGTGTGGTACGGATCAAGTGATACGTTGGGGGTTTTGGGGTGGGGACTCCTGGAACCCCAGACGGGATGATCAACGTCAACATGCGTTTGAAGCTCTCAAGCTTCACACAGTTGAACGGCATGCCGCTCTYGACAATGAATCGCATGATCTGCAGGTGCCATGCATGCTCCAGCGGGTCGTTGTAATACGAGGTCACCGCCTGCTGCCTGTAAGTGCCCCTCACTCGTGCACCGGCGCCCATACCTAGCGAATCCCACACCCCGCCCCCGACCGCAGGTGATGCGGTGGGGCCTGGACTCGGAGCTGCAATGTTGCGCAGATTCTGTAAAGGATCCAGTGTCCCAAAAACACCGTGCTGCGAGGTCGGGCCGTTCATGGGCACAAGAGTGGGTGACGAATCCGAAACCTGGACGGGGTCGTCGAGCTGGACGTTTCCCGCACCCTCAGTGGCCGTTGCAGCGGCCTCGCCAACAGGTGTCGAAGTCAAGTCTGGTGTAGGCAGTCGTGTTTGCGAAAAAGGGGGAGGCAACCATGGATACGCAGCGGATTGATGTCCTGTTGTGGGTGCTGTTGCCACGGCCGGACGTGTGTCTGCGCGTCGAACTCTTGGGACCTTGWCCCTGTTGCCAGTGAACAACGGGGCGAGGCCTGATGATGTGCCAGCGCCCTTCCCCGACCCACCGCCCTCGACGAAAGCACGAGTGCCTTGCTCGTCGAACGRCACAGGTTCCCCGACACCTGAAATTGGCACGGTGCCTTGCGCATCAGGCTGCGTTGCCACATATGGTTTGCCATCAACGGATGCGGGAATCGTCTGACGAAGCGGACGAGGGGGGAGGGGAGCAAGTGGTGCACATGGAGATGGCGCCACTTGCGAGGGGGCAGCGGTTAACGGGGGCGGCGGAACGACGTCATCGGGAAAACGAAGAGGTGGCCATTGAAAAGAGGGATGACCTAGAGGGAGACTCTGCAAGGCCTGCACGGCRGAAGCCAAATGTGCAGGACACTTGGACATATCCTTTGACCAAATCGCGTGCCACACCGCCGGAGTGGCCACGTGGCATCTATACCTCTCGCCACGAAAAAAGTGTTCCTTCGCCTCACGAGCACCCCCACATAGAGAATGACCGCATAACCTGCACAAACAACGGCGACCGTTCTTCCTCCCGACCGCAGTGGATCCATCTGAATAACGACCACGAGCAACGAAATGCCAAACAGGATCATCTCGTTTTCCATTCGCCTTTGGATCCACCTTAAAAGGGGAGTCAAAGGTCTTCGTGTTGTGACCTTTTCTACTACCCTCCGCCCTTCTCCCCGTTGCCGAGGAGGACTCTGCGGGGTCCTTCCCGTTATTGCCTCGAGGGTCAGACATGTTGTGGAGACCGAATGAAATCCGCAGAAGGGGTGAACTGAAACGAACTTCGACGCGAACGACAAAGAACTGCACCGAAGTTACCGAACAACCGACGACTCAACCTGTAAAAGATGGACAGTGACAGGAACGAACACAAGTTCCACAACAACCACAGCGACAAACAAGAGAAGGAACAAACATAAAGACCCCTAGAGACAAAAAAAAAAAA